GATCCCTGCACGCTTCCATCCTAACTAATCAAGATCAAGAATAGTTGATAAATTTGTTTCATAATTGCTTTTTAAGAACACTTTTTTTCAACCAGAAAGGCAACAATGTATAAAGGTTCATGTAGCACAACCGGTAACATGATTAAATGTGATGTTTCCATGACTAAATTGATATACTCCGTTATCTTCATCAGACAAGAACATAGTAAAGCGTATGTTCAACATGACAATTAAGTCGATCAGGTCAATTCGGCTAAGTTATGAGCGTATACACATATAGGTGTCATAATGTGCAAAATGACGACCAAATCGAGGACATATGGATTCGGCTACCTTTTGGTTTGTTACCTATTTTTTATTTTGAGTAAGAAATCAGTTTGATTCGGCAGTACTCAATCGATTTGTGTACATGTAGGCAGACATATCTGGGTAAATATATCCAACAGATGTGGGGAATCACTCGCGCATATATGAAAAGTTAACATTACTTTACTCTGATAAATAAAAGAATTTCAAACAAAGACCAATTTAAGTTTAGTAAATTTACTACTCGACATGCAAACAAACTAACGCTATCAAGACGAACAAAACTGTATGCTTTTATATTATGTACATTGAAATTCTGAAAATAAAAAAAATATTTCTTATTTAATGGTCGACGATTACATATATGTACATAAAGCCCTATTAACGATGCAGATTGAGTTCCAACATTAATTGGTGTTTCGATTGACTGTTATAGTATATCAACTAGTATAAGGTCCCTGAAGTGAGTGCGTTGACGTGAGTTGTTTCAGGACTATGATTCCACTGACACATTTCAGTACCGTTCAGTACTGATAGGTACCGTTCAGTACCGTTCAGTACCGATCAGTTACGTTCAGTACCGATCAGTACCGTTCAGTACCGTTCAGTACCAATCAGTACCGATCAGTACCGTTCAGTACCAATCAGTACCGTTCCGTACCGTTCAGTACCGAACAGTACCGACCAGTACCGTTCAGTACCAATCAGTACCGATCAGTACCGTTCAGTACCAATCAGTACCGATCAGTACTGATCCAAATATACAATGTCTACGATAGTTTAGATATAATTTGGTTGTATTGCACTCATTTTAAACTTTAAACTAGTTTGGCTAGGTCATTTCGTATCAAAGGCTGTGTTTGAAGCTAAGATTAGTGCACCGTAGTATGTCAATAAGTAGTTTAGATTAATTTGATAAGTGATATAAGGAATAATAAAAAAAAAATATTCATAAAAAAAAATGTTTTTACTCATTTATTTGAATTATTTATTCGTTTATTTAAAACAAATTGTTGGGTGTGTCATGTCGTCTCGATCACTGAAATTTCCTATTCTTAAAGGTGCTCAGGTCCACTAGTGAATTTGTATATTTCTAATATGACATATGTATTCAACCATTATTCAACGTAAATGTGATTAAGGATCCCTGTACCACTGTAAAAAACTGTAACTACGAATTATTCTCTCCGGCATAACTATAGCTTCGATAAATCATTTCTGCGAAAAAAAAAGAAAAAAAAAAGCTTGACAAAATAATTAAGATGAAATAAACGAACTATACAGTCAACAAAAGTGTTTTGTGTGTAACAATTCTGCACGGCTAAACAGATATTCAAACCCAACACAATACATTGTTATACTGTCGCTCTAACCGTCTTAGCTACAAAGTCATTAGAAATGTCCTGTTGTAACAGTGCTACAGTTACATCAAAAACTAAATTAAGGGGAGGTTACTGTACATACGATAAATCGCAATGCAGTGGGACAGGGTTCATTAAACTAACAATTTCCTGTGATAACAATGTCCTGTGATAACATATCCTGTGATAACAATGTCCTGTGATAACAATGTCCTGTGCTAACGTCCTGTGATAACAACGTCCTGTGATTACAATGTCATGTGATAACGTCCTGTGATAACAATGTCCTGTGATAACAACGTCCTGTGATAGCAATGTCCTGCGATAATAACGTCCTGTGATAACAATGTCCTGTGATAACATCTTCCTGTGATAACGTCCTGTGATAACAATGTCCTGTGATAACAATGTCCTGTGATAATAACGTCCTGTGATAACAATGTCATGTGATAACGTCCTGTGATAACAATATCCTGTGATAACAATGTCATGTGATAACGTCCTGTGATAACAATGTCCTGTGATAACGTCCTTGAAATTATTGCTTCCATTGACATCACGTCACAGTCGTTGAAACAGATATATCAGCCATACATACATCAGCCTCAGAAAATGATACTGTCTGAATATTATCCAGTCTTCAATAAATATTCAGAGTAATATTGACTAAGTGTAAAAGATGTGCAATTATTATGTTGCCTTACAACCGTCAGCTGTAGTGAATTTCCCTTTAGCTCAGTGGTAGAACATCGGGCTGGAGAGCCAAGGGCCGCGGGTTCGATCCCCAGCGACGGCACTATTTTATCACTATTCCTCGTCCTACTACCAACTGGTACCGTTGACCATCCCCGTTCAAGGTAGACGAACCCTTGGCGGGGAATCAAAGATCCTGGGTAAGTTTTAAAAAAAGGGGGGGGGGGGGGGATAGTGTAAAAGATGTTCTTTAATTAGGTTGCCTAACAAGCATCAGCTGTAGGAAGTTTCCCTTTAGCGGCAGAGCATCGGGCTGAAGAGCCACGGGTCGCGGGTTCGAAGCCCAGCGACGGCACTATCTTTATCACTATTCATCGTCTTACTCCATAAGTATTGCGACACAATTTCATTGGTCATTTATCGTTGTTAAAATGTTACAAAGTACATATTTGTCATTTTTGTCACTTTTATCAAAATCTAGGAAACAAACCGCCAAATACGACTTAAGAAATCACGAAAACCAATGAAAAGTTAATAGCATCCTTATTCGTTTCATCATCTTCGATAATCCAGGGTTAATCCCTAAATTATCGGGATGTTATTCCATCGGAGATAGAGGGTAAGCATTTCCAATCCCTAAAGTTGATAAATACTATTTTGAATTTTGTAAATATTTGCAACGGTGTTGTCCTGAGCGTTATAAAACTTCGTTGGAAACATGTACAATGTGTTGCAATTAATAATTATACAAATGTACTGTATAATTAAAATTAAATCAACAGACAGATATACCTGGTAATTTTATCAAACTTTATTGAAGAAAAAAAATAACAGTGTAAGCATCCGAGAAACAGCGGTTATTGGTCATTGCATATTATTAAAAGAAAAGTATAGCATTGATATTTCGAGTGAAGCTCATACAGTGTGAAGAAATATTCTGAGTATTAATATTTTCGTTTAGGTACGATTGAGTATAATAATGTGTAACTACTTCTACACTTGGTGAACAAAAGAATTATATGTTGATATCATATATCATACATGACGATGTAAAAACACTTTAACGCTTACACGGTGTACATTTACATTAAAATATAATTTAGAAATAGTATATTTCCAATTTTCCAACAATTAGCTATGATGAATGTTTTCCAGTTGGAATGCCTCCGGCGATAAATGTATATGTATCATACATACAACCCAAATTTTAATATTACAAACTTCTTCACGTTTACCACATTGGAAGCTGTATACCTGTTCTGTCCTCATTTTGTATAATGTTGTATAGTATCCTTAGTTCATGGTGGGTTAGATGTTATCTTCTGTTAGTTAAATGTTAAGAGGTTATCGTATCTCCATTTCCATATCCTTCGCCGTATCAGCCCTTGACCCATACATGTACCTGCTCTCGGGCGTCCGGTCCATCCGAGTGATATGGGAGTCTCGGACTGATACGGAGTAGGATATGGAATTGGTCATATGCTAACCTTTTTATCATATAGTGCTTTTTAACATCCAATGTTTTAGCAACAACATATAACACACACACACACAGATATTTATAAATCTAATCAAGTTCTACCTTTAATAAATCACGATGAAAAGCTTAGCAAATGCAGATGGAAATACAGTGAATATCCTGAAAAGTGCTGAACCGGAACTTAAAAGGATATGGCTGCTGCTGAGCATATATGGCACGTGCTGGGCGGATATGGCCTGGTCCGGAATACGGTTTATGTAAAGCTAACAGTATCACACATGCAAAACAACCCTTATCACGGGAAGGTATCTGATGAAATATATAATCGTCTGTTCGAGATGTTTGTATATTATCATCTATACATGATATGTCAGGTGTTATCCTCTTTCCATAGTATGTTTTCAATAGCATAATTCTTCAATAACATAACATTCGGTCATGAACAGTTAATGATGGTCAGACCATCCTCGTACTGTTTGAATACATGTGTAGTGCATATATATAACGTTTGATGAAGTAGTGTCTCAAAGGATATTAACACGTACCAATGTATTACACACGGCTTACAAAACATCATTTTTTTACTTTTGTTCTATCTTCGCGTAAACATAACGGTGTGGAAATATTCCCATTTTTTGCGTTGAGTAATAGCGAACAATATTATTAGTAAATATGTATTACGCTTGTATTAGACTAAGATTACAAATAAAAAGAGATAAAAAAGCATATATACAAGTTATGTCAAAGTTATACTTTCTACACATACTGCAATAACAGGGGATGGGGCTAGATCTACACCCTACCTACGCTCTCTATCGATAGGCGAAACGTCTTGGGTCGAGTGACATGCCAATATACAATTTCGTCACATCGTTGTACAGGTAAAAATACCAATCGCTCACTCAGTCATAGCTTGACAAAGGGCCCAGTCGGGCTTGAAACGTTGCGACACATTTAATGCGTACATTGTTTGTGTATAAAGTAAAACTTTGATATCACATATTTCCAAATTGATGAATCTTATTGATCATATATATAAGTAGATTTCAGAACCATTTCAACACGCATTAATTTCCATTTTACAGTGTATCTAGGATAACAGATTATCCCGTTTGATGATTCACATAGCACACGTTTACACCCAAGCTAGTTCGTCATTCTCGGGTGTAAATGTCGACGTCTCATTGTGTACAGCATACACGGTATGGTTGTACAATGTAACCATATACAGTCTTGTATTCATTCCTTAGTTAGAGTAGTTGTACAGCGAAAACAATTGTAATATGTGATACTATTAATGATTGAGAATAATAAACATTATTTTTGAAAACATGGCACATCTGAAAAAACATAGCTAGTAAAAAAACATATACATAAATACAGCGTATATCTACTCTTGATCTGTAGTATATAATATATATGAACATAAGAATTGTAACTAACGTCCCCTTGCGTAACTGTGCATTTCAAGCTATGGTGTAAGGATCTATTATAACGCCAGTTCTGTAAACTATAACACAATGCTGGGTCAGTGGAGACGCCTCATTCAGAAATATCTGTTTCGGAAAATCCAGTTATATCCGGAAGCTCCTTGGTGTCAAGAGCAGCGATGACCAATCCCCTTCCAGGTCGAATCGGCTTCATTTCTAAGGTTGTTGTCCATTTTGACTTTGGAGCGATATCACTGAAACGAAATGTTAAATAAATAATACCAAATCCATAAATGATGTGGTGTAATGTATAATTAATCATAAAAAATCGAAATTATAACACATCCATCCGATTTCGAGACAAAAAACAACCATTTCAAACTACAGTTTTCCTACGGCAATTAGTACAATTGAAATACAATTTGACTTTTGCTATTGTATTCTCTGTCTTTCGCCGATATAAGTAGGCAATTGAGATGACAATATGTCTTTTGCCGAAAGAAGTAGGAATTTGGACGACAAGATGTTTTTTGCAGATATAAATAGGAAATTTGGACAACAAGATGTCTTTTGACGATAGAAGTGGGCAATTTGGTTGACAAATGTCTTTTGCCGATATAGATAGGTAATTTGGATGACAACATGTCTTTTGCCGACAGAAGAAGGCAATTTGGATGACAAGATGTCTTTTGTAGATAGAAATAGGCAATTTGGACAACAATATGTCTTTTGACGATAAAAGTAGGCAATTTGGTTGACAAGATGTCTTTTGCCGATAGAAATAGGCAATTTAGATGACAAGATGTCTTTTGCAGACAGAAGAAGGCAATTTGGATGACAAGATGTCTTTGGTAGATAGAAATAGGCAATTTGGACAACAAGATGTCTTCTGACGGCATAAGTAAGCAATTTGGATGACAAGATGTCATTTGACGATATAAGTAGGAAAGAGGTATGGCGGAAAACTGCCCGTATTTCCCTAAGTCGGCATTTATGAAAACGGGAAAAAAAATTAAGGAGTAAAACATTTCGGGTAACAAAAATGCATAAAAAAGATACAAAACCAATTGAATATGAATTTTTAAACTGCTGAGAAATTAGGTATTGCTAATATGATACTGCAAATATAGCCATATACACTATATCTATGAAAGTGATGGGGTTTCCCGGACTTAATAAAATACTTTCAACACTTTCCCATCCGAGGACCAACTTTTGAATAAACTTTTTGTGACCGTGATGTAATTTGCAAAAACAAATCGTATAACGGAAAAGTGGTCCTCCTTTGGGAAAGTGCTCAAAATAATGAAAACAGGGGTGATCAAGTTTCTCGTAACTGCGACCGGTGTTTCTCGGGTTAAATAAGTTTGTAATTGCCGATATCTATATGTTCTATGTAGCCGAATGTGTAACGCAGTTTACTTGCGACTAGAAAATAAACGTAAAGGTTCGAATCCTCCTTCAGTTATATATATTTTTTTAAATATTAAGCCTTTGTGATCGGTTTCCTTAATAAGGCAATAGTGGGTTTTTTAAATCGATGGAAAAATTTGTTTTCATTTTAATACTATACCTATTGATTTATCAGTTTTGTTAGTAATAATTTCTTTACTATTTAGTGCGACATTCTTCTATCAAAGCATGTCAACAAATCCCTGTACACGTGTACAGTACAGCTACGCTTTGTAGGTAAGACTATTTTTGATGAAATTTGTGAATTGTTTTACCCTCCAACTGGCAATAGTAATTATATCAAGTGCTTAAACACCAACAAATAATGCCGAAATACCAAATATGTGGTCTGTTTTCAATAATCTATTCTTAGACACGGGATTCCGATATTGCTACCTGTATAAAAATACCTGAGGACGCGTCATAACAGTGCACGGTTGGATGCGCGCACTAGCGTAACATAGCTTTGGGGAAATAGGCATAGCAACCCGCCATATCTCTTTGGATGACAAGATGCTTTTTTGCCGACAGCAGTAGGCAATTTGGATGACAAGAACAAAAACGTATCCAGAAGGATTGCATAAAGTATCAAAGATTATCATATGTGTTAACATTTTTTTATTTTTTTTTATCTGTTATTTTTTCTTCTAAATCTGTAAACTTGGACGTAAAGCAAGTATTGTGAAATAGTTTAACACATTTAAGAATATAAACAGTTATTACAGTAACACTTCAACTTAAATAAAACCAACGTTATATGAACTTACATCTGGTCAACGTCCTGGTGATCCTCGAACTTTTCGTCATCAATTTTGAGTATACACTTTGTGAGGGGAATCTGAAGAGGGTTGACTACCGTGAATTTCACGCTGACGTTTGTGCCAACTTTGCAGTTGTCTGGGACCTGCAATTATTCAATTTGAGTTCAAAGTGTAATTTGTCCAAACAACAGTCTTACGTTATATTTGCGATAACCTAATAGATAGTCTTGACTCGTATTTCAGTGAGTGATACATACAATTGCACGATTGTGTGTAAATATTTGACATATTATAAATGATATTTGAATAACGAAAATACTTAACATTGACCCACAGATATCATCAATGGTAATATGATAGAAGTTTAAATGCAGCCAGATAATTAGAGGTTATCCAACAGGTTGACTGGTTATCATGTCTTTTTAACTCGAGTTAATTAATTTAAAAACTGTATAAAGTCACGAGGTTTACTTCAAATAAACTAATGAGAGTTATATAAACATGATAATTCACCATCATGCAATACATACTTTCTGTTTCCGATCGGGGAAACAATTGTCATTAACTATAACGTCACAATGGGTTATGACGCTGGAAAGCCATTTTTACTTGACTAATGAAATAGCGCCAGGGTGTTACCCATTAGTGGGTAATTACTAAACACAAACAATGATCAACGCCAACCGGGTTTATCCGATGAGTTTGGAGTCAAGAAACTGAAAGTGGTTGTTGGAGAATAAGTAAATAAGATACCGCCCTTACCTCTATATCAATGATGGCCGGATTCCTGAGTGTGAATATCAAATTTTCTGGGAATGAGTTGCCGGACTTGGCCACATTCACTACCACTGAAGCTTGGAGGTTGCCCATGTCCTGGAGTTTATCATTGTATTGGTCCCATGTAACCGTCATGTCAAATTGTTTCTCTGAAAATAATACGTTTTCATTAACAATTCACTTCAAATCCCCTTTAATCCCACAAAATGTATTGAGGCTTTACCAGGATTACTAAGAACAATGGGTAAAGGATATGGGGNTAATAACAAAAATAACACAATAAATGATGAACAAAAGTTCTTAAAACTAATCCCGTAGTCGATAATGTAAGTCACTGTACTGTTTGTAACGACATAATTCACCTCTTAAACCAATTTGGATCGACCTCAGTCAATATCTAAATTCTAACCAACCAAGGGCCAGCTTAGATGTGCAGTGACCAGTTGTCCTGCACATCTGCTTATGCCCACCAATACTCTTGCCAAGTTTCATTTTATTCTGACAAGGGCCGCGGACAAGTTTACGGCATGGAGGTGGGGAAGAAAGAGAATGAACAATACTTTGACGAAGAAGAAACAGTTTAAAAACAATAAGTCCCGGAAAGAAACTGGTTGCTCACTTCCTTACAACACCAATTCACCGGATATGTTATATTTGTATAGTGAACTTTGTTTTCATGCACGATTTTGGTAGGAAATAGTAGTCATATTTATACCAACACTTTTTGGTCATCAAAACAATTGGCTAAAAACTAAATGAGGTTGCATACATGACTTCATTTTTCTTAATAAATTAACTGGATCTGATAATTTCTTATAATGAAAACATCTTTTACTAAAATGAAAAAAATATATTGATACATAGTGTCATAATGACGTGTATTTACCCTATATAAACAATTACAAAAGACTGACTGCCTGACTGTAGCTTTCACAAATCATTACTATAAACTTAACCTTGCGGGACATGAAAAAATGATAAAGATCATTTAAACCAATATAAACAAAAATTCTGATCTAAGTGGAAAATACCAACATGATAAGACCAGGATTCGAAACCTAGATGTCATATTGTTATAACGTCGCTCTTACAAGCAAAAACACAGGGTAATTGGAAGCGGCCTGGCTCAAATGCGCTTCAGGTTTTTTTGTTTGTATCAAAATGAAATTTAGGAAAAGTGTTTGTATTTACAGAAAAAAAGTGTTAGTGGAATTTTGTAGTCTTTTGTCTTCAGTGAGGCAGGGTTCATTATAAAATATAAGATTATGGCTATATTACTTAAAACATCCATAGCTTCAGCATGTCTGTAGTAAATTCAAAAATTCAAATTCTGTATATGTAAACATCAGGGATTAAGGAAACGCAAAACGTCATGATGTTTTATGATATTTGTTAAAAGGGCAATTTCTATTGTTCCCTTCACGCTATAAGAAAAATCTATAATGCTTTCAGATATGACTGAATACGATGTCGATGGATAAATCTGAATATCAAACGCCATGGTTAATAAGTAGTAAAAAGAGTTGAAATGTATATACTTAAAAAATCGTATTTTGAGAACGAGCTATTGGCGAAGGACGACCGTTTGGATACCTGACAAGAGTTAACTGTGCAGACCTGATATGGCCTTTTATGGCAAACGTCTATTTCTGTATTTGCATATAAAGACGATTTATTAAGAAGGTCTAATGTATTCATTTCTGCGAAATGTGAAATATCGAAACTGGAAATATCTTAAGCTTACTATGAGGATACGGTATTAACACGGCAATAAGCTACCAGTACCTTCGCCAGGGTTGATGTAGAAACCCTGATTGTCTATTTTCCGTATCTGTTTATTTTTTTGTCCCGTGTAGTCAAGAGAACTCATCATGAGTCTCACGCTCGAAATCTTCATTCTGTTTTCTGTATCTGCGCTCGTATTTTTCACAGTTACAAACACTGTGACGTCTTGTCCAATGTCGAACTCCTCTCTCGCCGTCTTTATGGTGATGTTGACTTCCTGTTAAAAAGCAGTAAATTTATTCACATATTAACATAGTTGTAGACTAATCGCCGAGGAGCGAAGAAAACAGTACGATTCCTTTACTGAAAACTACCATGTTATCAGTTATGATCAAAGAACATATACAACAATCTATCAGCAGCCAATACAGTATATTCGGCTCATTGATTATTTCCCATTTGTATGTTTCTTAATTAGAAATCTATCACACAGACGTTTACATAGACAATAGCATGCATAGTTTAGATGCTAGTTATTACATACAAGAAACAACTAAAATGCATCTGCCCACTGTTTTGGTGTTTGATATAATTTGTTTTGTTTTTGTTTATGTAATATTATCCCCAGGCCAACCAAGTATTTATATTTAAATGCACAGATTGTTTTTTTAATTGTTAGAAGTTAATATAACTTTTCGTGAAAGTCGAGTCAAAATCTGTTAAATTTTGATTATACTGATGATAGATGTGGAAAGGTAAGAAAAACTGCAATATTACACGAATAATAGCCTTATGCTTTGTACCTTTTAAACAAGCAACATCAACAATAAAATGGTTACCTCTTTCTCTTCAAGAATTTCACTCCCTGCATATCTGCGTGCTCTTGCTACAGAGGTCCTCTCATCCAAACTGCCTGTATAAAGTGATAGAAATGTAAGACATTTTAACCTGACTCCATAGCTATAAAGCAATTCTGATTTTCCAACACAAGCTATACGCTAAAACAATGTCTTGTCACTTGCCGAGATCTTTCGGCAAACAACAGGTATATACTCAATATAAAAATTGTACCAAACAACATGTCTCAGACAAGTACTGAAATGACAGGAGAAAAAAAAAAACATATTAAAAACTCCCACTTCAACTAAGAACGAAGCTAAAGTATATTATTCAAATCGTCGTGTAGGCTTTTGTCAAGTAGGGTGCAGAATGTCAAAATTATCAAAAACAAAGATACTTGCAACAAGAACTCAAGAGTAAGTATCAATAGTTACATATCGTTGTGATGTTGTAAGGAATAAAATACATACATGTATGTACATATAACCAAAATTAGGCTCTTTGACGGATATCCTTACAATATTACATACAATATTACATATATAAACAGCTGGCAAATATTGGAAAATCAATACGACACATTTATAATATAGAAATAAAATGAAGTAAAGCAAATCTGACTGTTTTTTGCCCTTACTTTCAAATTCCTAGGGATAATATTTAATTTCAATCCAATCGAATAGCAAGAGGCCTAGAGGGCCTGTATCGCCCACCTGGATATCTAAGCAATCATGGCAAAATATTCTCCAAATGAGATCCAAAGGAATATGCTAGACACCAAGGCCAATCCTTGTAGCATATCTGTATTAGATTTTTCATGCCCAGCAATTTTCATGTATGGTTATGGGGTGGGAAGCTCAACTGTTTCCAAGCTGTGACTCAGAAACTAGGACTATAGGTTGTGGCCAGACCCCAGGATCAATTTTAATATCATGACTGCATTCGTCTCTTTTTGCCAAGCATTTGTATTTATAGTTTTGGGGTGGGGATCTCAACCGTTTCAAAGTTATGACCAAGGGGTTAAGTCTGCAAAGGTGGGGCAGACCCTGGGATCAATTTTAATATCATGACTGCGTTAGTCTATTTATGCCCAACAATTGTATATAAAGTTTTGGGGTGGGGATCTTAACCATTTTGAAGTTATGACCCAGGGGTTAAGTCTCCAAGGGTGGGGCAGACCCCAAGGCCATCCCGAAAGCCTATGTGCATTCATTTCTTTATACTCAGCAATTGTATATATGGTTATTGGGTGGGGATATCAACTGTTTCCAAACTGTGACTCAGAAACTAGGTCCCTAGGGGTTCGGTCGGACCCCAGGGTCTATTCTAATATCATGACTGCATTCGTCTCTTTATGTCCAGCGTTTGCATATATAGTTTTGGGGAGGGGATCTCAACCGTTTTAAAGTTATGACCTAGGGACTATGCCTCTAAGGGTGGGGCAAGACCCTTGAGCCATCCTAGAAGCAACTGTGCATTCTTCTTTTTATACTCAGCCATTGTATATATGGTTATACGGTGGGGATCTCAACTTGTTTTGGCCCCACCCCTTAGCCCGGGGGGTCAGCAACAAAATTTGTACAATTTTGAATCCCTGCGACCAAATATGGTCGATATCCATTGCACAGTTCTACAGAAGAAGTCGTTTATAGCAAAATAGCTAAATTGCCACCTTTTAGCCCAGCCCCTCAGCCCCCTGGGGGGTCTGCTTCACCATTTGTACAATTTTGAATCCCCACCACCGCTTGATGCTTCCAGTCAAATATGATTGATATCCATCTCTCAGTTCCAGAGAAGAAGTCGCTTAAAGCAATATAGCCAAATTGCTTTCCTTTTGGCCCCGCCCCTCAGTCCCCTGGGGGTCAGCTCCACCATTTGTACAATTTTGAAACCCAACCACCTAGGGATGCTTCCAGTCAAATATGGTTGATATCCATTTCTTAGTTCCGTAGAAGAAGTCGCTTAAATCAATATGGCCATATTGGCCCCCTTTGGCCCCGCCCCTCAGCCCCCTTGGGGGTCAGTCCCACTGTTTGTACAATTTTGAATCCCTAATACCTAGGGATGCTACCAGTCAAATTTAATTAAATTCTAATCAGTGATTAAGAAGAAGAACTCGTTCAAAATAATTGTTGACGTACAGACGAAGGACGGACAACGGACGGACGACGGACGCCACGGTATGGCATAAGCTCACCTTGGTCATTCGGACCAGGTGAGCTAAAAATGCATGTGTTATTAATACAATCGACTTTTAAATTATTCCCTAGAATAAGATAATCAAAAAATATCCAAAAGAGTCATCTCCCTAAATAAACTTCATTCCAACCAGTGGTGAAGATGAAGAAGTCGTTCAAAAAAATTGTTGACGTACAGACGACGGACGACGGACGGACGATGGACGGACGACGGACGCCACGGTATGGCATAAGCTCACCTTGTTCAGTCGGACCAGGTGAGCTAAAAATGCATGTGGTAATTATTACAATCGACTTTTAGATTATTTCCTAGAATAAGTTAATAAAAAAATATCCAAAAGAGTTATCTCCCTTAATAAACTAAAGTAAACTTTACACTCGCTGCGGAGGGATACTGCTAAAAAGGTGTAATTAAAATCACATTTCCTAAAGTATCCTAGGTCCTTACTTTCCAAGGGGAATATTTGATTTTAGTATATCTGCGTCTGAGGGAGAAGGCCACTGAAAATTAAACCAATTTCCCTCCGTTTTGTTCGTTGAGGAGGGGTGTTACATCCATTTAATTAACAGTTTTTGGACCGCCTTTAGTCATCGAATCCCCTTTCAAAATTATATTGAAATATGTTCGTATCAGGTTAAGTGAGACTTTGTGTACAAACATATCATACAATACAATCACTAAATATACAAAGTACGAAGAAAAGAAAACGTTTGTTTTTTAAAATAAGTCGGTCAAAGCAATACTCCTAACGAAGTAAACCTAAGATAGCGATGTAACAAGCGCCCATTTGCATTTTGAACCTACAAATTATTGAAAATGTTACATAGCTATGCTCACCCTCTGGCCATTTGTAATGCTTTGTAACATCGATTAGTGTCCAATTAGACAGTGTGTTTTTAGGCATCGGCATGCCATCTGGCTTCTTGGTGCTGATTGTCTGTCCAACACTGAAATAGAAAAGGTTATGTAATGACAACCGTTTCTTTAAGTTATTGTGCACCTCTAAATTGGCAGAAAGATGCGCGAGAAACCACTATCCCGAGACTGATTTTATAGTGTACTGTTTTAGGGCTGACATATAAGACAATTTAGCATGAAGAGTCACGCTTAAAGGGCCCTGTTCCACTGCAATGCGTTTGTCTTCCTTTTACAGTAACTTCCTATTTACTTCCGTTTGGGCTTGTACATTTCCGGGGACAGAATAACTCAATCGGTTACAGCAATTGTAAAATAATCATAACAATATTATACAAGTCCACGGCTCGAAATCCAGTCTAGACCCTCTGAAAATGTAACACTCAAAACAACTGTTTTTGTTTTTTGTATTTGTTTATTTCATCTTTATTATTTTTCATAAAAATACTGCAATTTTTCTTTTTTCAGAAATGATTTATTAAGGCTATAGCTAGTCCGGAAAAGGCACTTTCCAATACTTAGTTACAGTTTTTGACAGTGGTCCATATATTCTTAACAAGCAATAACATATGTTAGCTCACAAATTGATAATGATACATTTTGTTCATGATCAAGAACGCTCAGTCTCTGGTACCGTATAACTCCCGTTAATTGCCGTTCTAGTGACTGTAATTTACGTTTGAAGGGAAGATAGGGTATTACAAAACATGTTCTTCGGGTTGGTAGGTATGGATTATGAAAAGTTCTTTTTACACAACCAATAACATGTTCTATGTGACGTTTCAATAACTAGTACGATATGTACACTGTCACCTTCATCAGAAAAATGACCAATGAAGCGCATGCACACAAAGGTGTAAAATGTGTACAAGTTGTCCACAAAATCTATGTCGATTCGGCTACGCTGTAAGCGTATGTACAATAGTTGTTATATATGTACCGAAATGACTCGATTAAGCTTCACTTTGTTTATTACTTGGTCATAGATGTGCCCCCTCGTCTCGATTTAGAACTGCACTTTGAAGATTAATCAGTTTTGCAATTGCTGTTGTCTCGAATATTTAAATGTTGAAAGGAAAATGTGTCAGATAATCTCAATCTCAAAATAGGCTAATTTCGAATGTCAAATATTCTTTATGTAAATATTTCTGATGAAGTGACCAAATGAGGTTACTTGTCACCTTGTGGCTTTGTAATGAAATAAATAACAAGAGGCCCATAGGGCCTGTATCGCTCACCTGGATATCTAAGCAATCATGGCAGAATATTCTCCAAATGAGATCCATGGGAATATGCGAGACCCCAAGGCCAATCCTTGTAGCATATATATCTGTATTCGATTTTTCTTGCCCAGCAATTTTATGTATGATTATGGGGTGGGGATCTCAACTGTTTCCAATCTGTGACTCAGAAACTGGGTTCCTACGGTTGTGGCCAGACCCCAGGATCAATTCTAATATCATGACTGAATTTTTCTCTTTTTGCCCAGCATTTGTATATATAGTTTTGGTGTGGGGATCTCAACCTTTTCAAAGTTATGGCCCAGGGGTTAAGTCTGCAAGGGCGGGGCAAACCCTGGGGTCAATTCTAATTTAATGTCTGCCTTTGGCTCTTTATGCCCAACAATTGTATATATAGTTTTGGGGTGGGGATCTTAACCATTTCGAAGTTATGCCCTAGGGGTTAAGTCTCCAAGGGTGGGGCAGTCCCCAAGGCCATCCTGGAAGCATATGTGCGATCATCTCTTTATACTCAGCAATTGTCTATATGGTTATAGGTCGGGGATATCAACTGTTTCCAAGCTGTGACTAAGAAACTAGGTCCCTAGGGGTTCGGTCAGACCCCAGGGTCTATTCTAATATCGTGACTGCATTCGTCTCTTTATGCCCACCATTTGTATATATAGTTTTGGGGTGGGGATCTCAGCCGTTTTTAAGTTGTTGCCCAAGAACTATGTTTCCAAGGGTGGGGCCATACCCTAGGGCCATCCTGGAAGCAAATGTGCATTCTTCTCTTTATACTCAGCAATTGTATATGTGGTTATATGATGGGAATCTCAACCATTTCCAGGCAATGAACTTTTTTTGGCCCCATCCCTTAGCCTGGGAGGTCAGACCAACCATTTGTACAATTTTTAATCCCTGCATCCCATGAATGCTTTTGATTAAATATGATTGATATCCAGTGCATAGTTCTACAGAAGAAGTCGTTTGTAGAAATATAACCAAATTACCCTTTTTTGGCCCCGCCCCTTAGCCCTCTGGGTGGTCAGCCCAACCATTTGTACAATTTTGAATCTCCACAACCTAGGGATGCTTCCAGTCCAATATGGTTGATATCCATCACTTAGTTCCAGAGAAGAAGTCGCTTAAAGCAGTTAAGCCAAATTGCCCCTTATTGCCCCGCCCCTCAGCCCCCTGGGGGGTCACCCCCAACATTTGTACAATTTGGAATCCCCACCACCTAGGGATGCTTCCAGTCAAATTTAGATAAATTTCAATCAGTGGTTAAGAAGAAGAAGTTGTTTAAAGAAATTGTTGACGGACAGACGACGGACGGACGGACGGACGCCACGGTATGGCATAAGCTCACCTTGGTCCTTTGTAGCAGGTGAGTTAATAATATTAATAAATTGAGGTTCTTATATACCGCTTTACTACAACATAGTTCGTAAGTCGTCTCAAAGCGTTCACAAATTATTATCCGTGGTCATAGGGCTTTTGAAACCTGTCAATATATTTCTCAACTTCCTGGGGAGCATAAAGCCAGTGCTGCCATTTCGGCGCTCACAGCTAGCAATCAACAATTCTAGCACTGCCCAACCACGTACTCATTTACAGCTGAGTAAACTGGAACAAGCGGAGTAAAGTATCTTGCTCAACGATACAACACAGTGGCGTGGTGTGACTCAAACACACAGTCATTCGGTCACGAGCCCGGCGTCCTACCACTAGATTACCATGCCTACAATGTTGTGTTCATGTGTAAGTGAAACGTATACTAATTTATATCTAAACTCACTGGTTCTTTACAGTCCTCATCCTCTTGAATTTACCGCTTTCTGTCTTCTTGTAGTACACCATATCTGCATTGACCTCCGAAAATACAAATCCCGCATCAATAGGAAGGTGGGTCAAACCTTTCTTCACGGCGACCACGGGACAAGGGCCACACTGGTATATTCCTGTAAGACCGGAAGACAAAACATTAGCCAAAGAGTCCAATAGTACTTTCAAGTTTTAATCATAAAAAAGTTTCAATTCTAGTACAAAAACCCATCATTATCACAGGTTCGATCTATTGCATTCACAGAAAAATTCGGTAATAACGAAACCTCTTCTTTAAATAAGTCCTTCTTAATATTTATCCAGACCATTGATTCACTATTTACTGTTTAAATAAATAGCAAATTTCGATATTTAAAATCACTAGCTTCACTTGCCTTTTTTAATTTTAATATTTCACAGAAACGTTTACTCAAAATGAGCCTTATTTGTCACTTTTAAGAATTTATACGTTGTAAAAGAGGTACTTAAAGACTCGACCCATTTTTTCAATGACTAATCTTGCATTTGATAAAGTAGATTAACATGTATTTATTTACACTTAGTTTGTTTAAATGTACGTAATAAAAACGCACAAAGTAGGCAAACTGAATTTGAATTTTATGTTTAATTAGTGGTAATAGTAGTTCTTGCATAACTGAACAATTTTTTTTTTTTCACATCTTTTAATAACTTTTATAAAAACATTAACCGGACGTTTTGTTTTTATAAACAGTGCTTATTGAAATTGACCCAGGTGTAATTTGTTTGTTCTAGGACATGTTGTAGTATCTACACAGATGAGATGTCGCAAATTAACATGTTTGAAAATCTAACTAAGCTGAAGTATGCACTTTACAATAATCTTCAAAAATGAGCAACTGTTTCTACACAATGTCATAGTTATGTATTTGAAGCATAAACTGTTGACATTTTCTTTGAAATCACGCTTACATACATTTGTATATTGCATTTTATGTTGAACCTTTGTTTTTGTTCCATACATATTTTAACAAAGAAAATCTCATACTATCCAGCCCCCCATCGGAAGGTTACTTTGTATTTATGACACGACTTAAACATTCAGAAGGAAATTAGGAGAATCATTAATACAGCTATCGTGATTATTTAATCATACCTTCACTCAGCTCCTGAGGAGTAGCATCAATGACCTGCCAACCGTCGTATATGTGATCTTGGAGATCCGGTCGAGTAAACCATACTTCATTCCAGACATGAAAGTTCCTTTTTATCCAACGAAATGCATAAAGGTTACCACAGATAGCATAAAGGTTACCACAGATAGCACTAAGGTTACCACAGATAGCATAAAGGTTACCACAGATAGCATAAAGGTTACCACATATAGCATAAAGATTACAACAGATAGCACAAAAGTGTACACAGATAGCATAAAGGTTACAACAGATAGCACAAAGGTTACCACAGACAGCATAAAGGTTGCGAAAGATAGCACAAAGTTTACCACAGACAGCATAAAGGTTACCAAAGATAGCATAAAGGTTACCACAGATATCACAAAGGTTACCACAGATAACATAAATGTTACCACAGATAGCATAAACGTTTCCACAGATAGCTCAAAGTTTACCACGGATAGCATAAAGGTTACCACAGATAGTACAAAATTTACCACAGATAGCACAAAGGTTACCACAGATAGCATAAAGGTTACCACAGATAGCACAAAGGTTACCACAGATAGCATAAAGGTTACCACAGATAGCACAAAGGTTACCAAAGATATCATAAAGGTTACCAGAGAAAACACAACGGTTACCACAGATAGCAAAAATGTTACCAAAGATAGCATAAACGGTACCACAGATAGCATAAAGGTTACCACAGATAGCACAAAAGGTTACCACAGATAGCACAAAGGTTACCATAGATAGCAAAAAATTACCACCGATAGCACAAAGGTTACCACAGATAGTACAAAGGTTACCACAGATAGCATAAAGGTTACCACAGATAAGCACAAAGGTTACCATAATTAGCACAAAGTTTTCAGAAGAATAGAAATATCAAATATTATCATTGCAACTACTATACAATCTATAACAACTCACTTACACCGATACATAATAAAAATGATTAAAATAGCAGGAGCATAATAAAACGATTCGTTCTCCTAATCACACCAAACAAATAACATTTCGCTGCCCATAAAATGTGTCCACACGCTTAATCAACATAGCTCTTTCCAAATGCTGTATTGTAAGTTTTTAAGACAGAAATCAGAAATGCAGATTATACCTTTTAGTAACTACTCAACAAATACTGTCATTATGTAATAGCTACCCACAAACAATGACACTTTCTAGTAACTACTCACCAAACACTGTCACTTTGTAGTAACTACACACCAAATACTGTCATTATGTAGTAACTACACACCAAATACTGTCATTATGTAGTAACTACTCACCAAACACTGTCACTATGTAGCAACTATTCACCAAACACTGTCACTTTGTAATAACTACTCACCAAACACTATCACTTTGTAATAACTACTCACCAAACCCTGTCACTTTGTAATAACTACTCACCAAACACTGTCACATTGTAGTAACTACTCACCAAACTCTGTCACTATGTAATAACTACTCACCAAACACTGTCACTATGTAGTAACTACTCACCAAACACTGTCACTATGTA